AGGACACTACACCTCAAAGTCTTGAAAACAAAACTCATGTCACATGTGTGTGTTAAGGCATAACAAGGTAAAAACTGCAGGCATGGTAGCCCTTACTGAGGCCATGAATCCTGCCAGGTCTCAAGGAGATAGGTGTAGAGGTTTATGGGAAACTGCACCTAAAGCTGCTGACAAGCAAAACTTGTGACGTGTGTGACTGTGTATGTGTAAGACGTACCCTCACTGGCACTGGTACCTCTACATGACACGGTAGTGTGCTCCAATGAAGTCTCCTCCTCCCCTACAGCCTCAGCCTGGTCTACCACTTTAAATGACAACGGGTAATAACTTAGTAAGCAGCAGCACAGTAGCATCAGCAGCGTCTCAGGCAGCCAAACTGTGACAGTCAATATCAGAGCAATCCTTCCCCCATCTTTCCCCTCCCTCTCCATACTTTCTGTTTCTCTGCAGGGAAGCCCAGCTTCAGCTTTGAAACTCAAAATGTTTCGAAACTTTCAAAATGTTTTGATTGCTCTCATTTCGTTTCAAGGCTGTTTCGAAGCCCTTTGTTTTGTTTCAATTTCGTTGTTTCAAGCTCGAAACGAGTCAAAACAGTGTTGAAACAAAACAGATGGTGAAATTTCACACACCCCTATTAGGCACCCTTGTGTGCCATATGCTTGTGAACAAGCAGCAGTAGTTAATTAACAAAATGTATTATTAAAGCTGCAATGACATAATTAATAATGTTACACAATGAACCATAAAATGTCAGTCACTAATAGAAACAACTAATGCACACGTAAAAATAAAACTACAGCCTTAGTCTGACAGAGCTCTGCTGAACATAGAGCCTCAAGTATCTGAAGGAGCAAAAAATGGTTTTGTATCATCTTAGCACCATCACACATTAATTCTTAAGTCAGTACTCCCTGCAGCACATATCTATTTTGCAAGCACTTGCAATGGATCTTAAAGAGGTATTCTGGAAGCTGGAGATTGTAGAGGCACAGCAACAAGGGAACTATCTTCCATGGTCACATCACCGATAATATAGGCTACTAGGTTGGATAGTGTGGGAGAAACCTACCACTTCATGTTCTTTATAATGAAAATATTATCAGGCCTTATGGCCAGCAGGAAGAGCCTCATAATTAGGAACCTAACAAAATCAAGGAGGCAGACAGCTGATTTCATGGGCTCATAGTGGAGGGATGCCTCCACACCTCTGATTGGCCAAGGGGCCCCTCACTGCTGATGGGAGAGAGGGCTGTCTATCATGTAGCCCTGTGCCTCATCGCTGATTATCAGAAAGGAACAGTGCCATGCAATATGAAGCTCTCTCAGCCAATCAGCAGTGAGAGGCAGGGAGGGGGAAGGGGGCAGCTGCCATCATGGCTGCTCCTCCTCGCATTAGCGGCTCCCCTCCCTTCCTCCCCCCACTTCCCCCTAGGCTGCAAGGCCAAGCCACAGCAGCCATGAGGACCAGTGGCCTCCCTCCATGGCGGGGGGGGGAGGAGTTGTTTTTGGGCACTGTCTACAAAATCTGCAATTTTGCAATTTTCATGAAACTAAGACTTGAATAGGTCCCTACTCATAATGCTAGACACTGTACAAGGCCACAAGAGGCTGTCCCTGTACAGAACAGTGTAAAGTCCAAGTAGACAAGACAGGCAAATGATTTGCACTGATATATTTATACTTTCACTTTGAAACCAGCATAGCTACATTGTAACCCACCCCATAAAACAGATGCAAATATACTAGTGCAGGAATGTCAGATGCAATTATACTAGTGCAGAAGTGCCAGTTATACAAGTGCAGGCCTGCAGAGCTGCACTGTGTAGCACCCAAGACTGGTAGAAGAGCTGGTAATTTGGAGATGGGGCCACAAGGGTTTGTGCCTACTCCCTAAATCCAGGATATAGATCCCATTTGGAGTAAATGGGACTGTGGGTGGAAGGCGGGGGAAATCAGGGAGGGTGGGGTGAGTGATGGCTGAGTTTACCCCCACCACAGCTGCTTGCCCCACTGCAGCTGCCACTCAATTCTGCTGCCGCTTCTGAATCCAGTCTATAAGGAGTCTGTGCATGGCCCAAGGTGGGGGGCAGGGGAGCATGGCGAGTGTGACATCCTTGTACTAGGGTAAAGATACTGAACCAGTCTACAATCAGATTTATAGCCAATAAAAGTATGTAAGCAGATTGCTGGTATACAAGCATCACATTTGTGTCATGATTTTTCGGTCAATTTTTATTATTTGAAATCTTTGGGGGGTGGGGCTCAGTGAGTATGAAATTACCTAGGCAGAAGGGCAAAGAAAAGAGTTGAAAAAGTGAAAAGAAGGGGAGAAAGGAAGGTCAGTTTGACATCAAATGAGTTAATGCTCCATATCAGTTGTGTTCAACATTTTCTCCACACCCGCGGGCCAGGTGGACCGTGTCCAATCCATCCTGGCTAGATATGGCCAGTGGTCCTGATCCAGCACCCAGGGCGGGCATGGTGGGCACCATTTGGCTTTGTGGAGGGGCATGGGGAGCAGCACAGCTGCAAGCCAGCCCCTTAGAGGAAAGAGGTGTGGCTTGGCCCTGCAGGGAGAAAGGGAGCATGGCCCAGCCTCAACCTGGCAAGGCAGGGGGGAAAGGGGCAGGGAGAAGAAGGTATGACTGGGCCACAACTCAACCCCCCAGGGGGAGGGGGTATGGCCCAGCCCCAATCTAGATGTGAGGGAAGGGGTATGACCTGGTCCCATGGGGGTAAAGGGGCACAGGCCAGCTCTGAAGGGCCATGCACAGCAAAGAGGTTGGCCATAGTCATGGCCACTGCTCCCCCCAAATTTTGATTCCAGGGCTCCTCTGATTCCAGGGGAGTCCTGCAGGCCAGATATCAAGGCTCCACTGGCTGCATTTAGCCTTTAGGTCAGAGTTGCCACCCCTGCTCTATACCATTGAAGCATCCTGTTATGCCACTGAAAATTGTTGGTGAAATGGGGCAAAACAGACTTAGAGGATATGAGGAATTAGCATCAGAAAATATGTTTTTCACAATCTGCATAGGCTAGTACAAAGATTAGTGAAAATGTCATAAGTATTTTAAAATGCTTGATCATATTATTATACATGTCCATTTATTGTAAAAGATATATACTGACTAGCATTTAGTATTAATATTTCTTCCTTGTATACCTATACACCATCAAATGCATTTTGTTTCATGATATGAACATAAAATTATAACAATAAGGAAGTTAGCTTATATATAATATCTTCTAAACACAATATTTATCTGATTCCAATTCCAATTTAAGACACGCCCTCCCCAATAATTAGATTCTATACATGGAAAGTTATAAAATTGTTATAATTTTTGATGCATAGAATCTAATAATTGGAAGGTATTTTTAAATGTGTTCCCCTTGTTGCTATGGTCGGGAAGGCAGAGGCAGGCAGGCAAACAGCACAGGGGGTATGGTGTCTACCCCCTCAATTTCATCCCACTGTGCCTGCTTCCCTAAAATCTACCCCTCCCCCTCATTTTCTGTTACTGCATCTACTTGTCCGCCTTGGCCACTTGCCCCCTACCACTCAATTCCCTGCCTGAATCCCCATCATCAGGGCTCTGTTCTCCATAGCAGGGCTGGCCCCTCACCTCTGCTCCCTGGCTGCAGCTCCAGTAGATACTGCAGTTGTTCCCCACCTCCCCCTCACCACTCCCCGATAAGCAGAAATTCCCCCCTCCCCTCTGCGTTGCAGAGAGGTGTTTGTATATTAGCTAGCAGACCACAGGCAGGCTGTGGTCCACGCTGAGTCAACACGTAGAATCAACTGGTAGCTCATAATGTCCCTCTGTTGTTTTCTTAATGCAGTGATAAACACTGTTATCAATTACCTGCTGGGCTAATCAGAGCGTCCTTCAGGGGCCTGGCCATGCCCGCCCCCTCAGCTCAGTCCTGTCGAAGGGAAGGGAGGGCTGCTCTAGAGCCCCCTGGCTCCTAGCCTGAGCCACTGCAGGCATGTGCCTGCATGTCTGGGATGTCTGTACAGTTATAAAGTGATTTAGCCTAGCCAGGTTAGACTAACCTGCCAAGATTGAATCAATTAAGGCTCAGGCTTTTTGAATGTCTGGCCCTAGCCTACACGGCTTTTTCTCTTAATCGCTTGAAAGTTAAAAATATAAAGGTATCTTACTCAGATTTTAAAACGCAGATATAAAGCAGACAATTCTTCTTTCTAAATGACACTTCTGTTAGGCTACAGATATAATTTAATTTTACTGAGCCAGAAGAAAACATTTTTTTCTTTTTATATGTAATGATTTTCTGTTCTAGAAAATTGAAAAAGATAACTAAAAATATGGACAAAGAAGTTAAAATAAAAAGGTTGGAAATGTACCAGACTTCACAGTGGAAAGTAATTTAATTTAAATATTTGTTACCAAATATCTAGTCACAATACAGTGAAGTATTCATTTTTTCACTTTATCCTTATCTTGTAATACAAAACATGCTCAGTCAATTGGCTTGCTTGACTGACTGAATGTTCCTAATCATACTATATGCATCTGAATAGACAGGGAAGCGTGAACTAACAGAACACCTGCAGCAACAGATTATTCCACTGTACATCCACCAGAGCAGCAATAAAATCCACTGAAAATGAAATTGCAGTTAACCTTCCCCCCAAAAAATAATAGTCTGTACTTTTAAACAAGTGTACGCATTATACTAAAGTTAAAAGTATTTCTATCTGAACTCCCTATACTTTTAAGAACTGTGATTTTCAATTCTCTGACCAAAAGCCTTTAATGTTTCATACAACACTAAGAATCAGTTTTTCACCCCACATAAAGTAATAATAGGTCAACTAACTTAGGTGATTTCCAATTATTTACATCATCTAAAAGTCTGGCCCCAATATTTCATATCCAGGAGCACAGAGTCCTTTACATAGCAGGGCAAGTTGTTTAAACATGATCTTCCCCATGCACTCCAATTTTAAACTGAAATAAAAAATATGGCTTACCTATGCTGAATTCCAGCTTTGGCTCATTTGCAATCCTTTGAATACCTTGAAGAACATTTAAAAAAATAATAACTAGAAAAGATATTATTTTTAATAAATATATAATAGAATCTTTTTAAAATACATCTTACCTTGCTTTACACATACCCTTACCATTGCTAGATATATCTATGAACTTACTATATTTTTAAGGAAAACATATTGTAAAGAAACGGTTTCACAATCTGCCTGTCCATGGAAAGAAAACCTGTTTTTTGTTTTATTTCAGCAATTAGGAAGACCACTTTTACTTGTTTTTTCTAGGCCAGGGTTGTTCAACCAGTGGCCTGTAGGCCACATGCAGCCTAGGAGGAGTAAATATGCAGCCCCCACGTTTCCTGTCCACCTGCTGCTCTGGCTCTTGAATCCAGAGTCTCTGGGCTTCCCCTCCCCACTGCTAATTCCTGCCCCTCTCCCAAAGGGTGTGGCAATGCAGGGAGCTGAGGGTGAGCCTCAGGCACACAGTACAGCAGAGGAGGAAGGGTCACAGGTATGTGATGTAGCAGTGGGGCACCCATGCAGGTGTGCAAGGTAGCGGGAAGCTGGGATGGTCATGGGTGCACAATGCATTGCAAGCACTTGCTTAGGGGTTCAGGGTAGCAAGTGGGATGGTCACAGGTATACAGTGCAGCAGTGGTGGGTGGGTTACGAGCACACAGTGTGGGGCACGTCCATGGGTTGTGAGGCCCAGAAGACAGCTCTAGGTGAATGAAAATTCATTTAAAAAAAAATAGAAAATCTTCATTGCTATGCACTTTTTGGTAAAATATTGAATAATGTTATGTATTTGGTGTATATTAAACAATGCTGTATAATGCTTAAATACCTATCTGAACAAAAATATATGACTGCAACAAAAATAACCATATTTATTCCAACCCCATCAATTAGGTTACTAAAAGTAACACGTTACCTTATGCGATTTTAGCACAAAGTTGTGATGCAAACAGAAATGCCTGTGCTTTTATACATGTAGGAAAAAATGCTACTTAATTCTCTCTCATGTACTGAGGACAAGTACCCTATAATCCTTTGCATATCTGCATTTCTGAGTTATTAATAATGTTGATGCCCACTGTTGAACTTGAAATGGAAGCATGCTTTTAACTCATTAGTGCATGGGAGGAACCACTGAATTGCAAAACTGGCCAATGGGAAAAGGTAGGGAAACCAAAGGAAGGTGTGCAAGTAAACATGATTTGCTCAGCTTCCTCAGAATATAACCAGATAATGCCTGCAACACTGATGAAGATGCAGTTATGTAATTGCCTCCTGTTCACACAGTGTTACTGTACAATGGACTACCATTACAAAAGAAAAGACTTCAACAGAAAAGACTAACATGAAGAAGAAAGCGTGTACGTGGATGGGAAGAGCAGGTTTTCAGCTACAGTGTGTGTGTGTGTGTGTGTACATGTACACACACACATGCACGCAAACATGCGGCAGGTAGAAGAGAGGTTATGAATTTTAAACTGCATCCTCTCCACAAGAGCTTGAAGTATAGATAATTTGGTTTCAAATTGGTGGTGTTACTAGAGTTAACAATTCAAAACTATCCTAGAGTTTAAAAGCCTTTTGAAGTAATTAGGTTTTTCAAAAATGTTTTTAACAATTAAGTGTTCTGAAAAATTACCCAAAATCAAGCTACCATTCACACTGGCAGCGGACTTGTCTATAACATGACTTCTATGTGCAGCCCAAATGTATACCTGACAGGGTTAGGTAAATGGACAACTAAAATCCTCTGAAGATGACAGTTCCTAGAAAACAGCATAGTTCCAGAATAAAACAATGAACATGGGTTGAACATATGGCCAGACATTTTCATTGCTACAGTGTTTTTGCCACACAGAAGGAACAATTCATTAGTACTAATATTCAGTTTTACTGTATCTCCTTCTTTCTAAGTTAGTCAAAGTTATGTTTTGTTATCTCATAGTTTGCATGTTCATGTGTGGTATAAAGGAGGTTATTCTTTTGTTTTCAAATGAAGAGTTTTCAAACTTGAAAAACAACATTTATTAAAGAAAACCTGATGCTGTAAGCACACCTTTGTTTCCCCAAAGGAGACTATTTGACTGAACCTAAATATAGCTAATCATGAATATTTTAATTCTCTTCCATTTCTTCCTGCTACTATAGCCGACTGTCAGTCAACAATTGAAACTGCAATTTAATTCCAACAGTTACAGAATGTAGAACGTTTTTAAAAGCATTACAGTGTAACGTGACATAAAGCGTATATTCACTTACTTGTAAACTGCAACTCTCCTAGGTTGTCTGCCTGCACTGGAGAGAGAAATTGTTGTGCTTCATCTGAGGTTCTCTCCTCTTTGATTTCCATGATCAACCTCCGGAGTTGCTGAATTTTGTTGTGCAAACCTTCTGAGTTTGCTTCTCCCAGAGCCACAGCCCAAGATTCACAGTCAGCCTTTGATGCAGCTTCAAGGTAAAGATCTGGTTCTCCACTCTGAAACTCTGCACTCAGAAAACATTAATATACTTTTTAGGGATCCAGATATCAAAGGATGGGCTGGAGATCATGGCAGGATTGATCCTGCATATAGTAAAAGCTTTCATGTATCTAGTCTTCCTGCCAGAAAACCAAACACCCCTTCTTGAAAGAAAGCCCTGTTGTTTCACACACAGTGCACCAAACCCATATTACGTAGCAGTTCCAAAAACAATTAATATACTGCTAAACTGGGTGGAAGAAACATCAAGCTGAAATGGGAAATCCTTTTTTAGTACATGTTTTGCTGCTCAGCAGGTACCTTTCAGGGCTGCTACCTTAAACAAGAATTCGATTTAGCAGCAGCAGCAGACAGCATTCTGACAAAGGGACCAGTGGGATTCACAAAGGTGAATGTGTCCATCATTTCTTCTATTAGAACTGTCCTTTATGCTCAGCCTCTCATCCATCCCTGCCAGAATACTGCTCATCAGCATGTGGAGATAATTTAGCGTGACATAGCTCCTCTGCGAGGAGCCAACAGGTTGTATGTGGGAGCTTCCGACTTCATTACAATCCACGAGTTTGTTGCTGTTCTGCCTGATAAAAGTCTAAGTGTTTAATTATCAGATTTTCTAAGAAGAAGAAAAGAATAAAAATCACTTATGCTCCTAGGGAAAACCATGCAATAGCAAGAGCCATTCACTTGATTAGAACAGCACAGGAAAAAAAGTCTCCAGGCATTTAAAATCCCATGGCATAGACAGTTTCACAGAGTTGTAAATTCAGTGTGACATTTAGCGTGATATCCATGGCCAACAAATGGGGGGGGGGGGCCCCCCGCAGGGGAAATCAATGCTGCTTTAAAAGAAGTTACCTACTTATTTGGAAAAAACATAAAGCTATTTAAGTGCCTATCTACTCTATTAATAAAGTTGGCAACTATTTCTCTTAGAGCTGAATGCGAAGAATATTTTGACACAAGCCATAGAAGATATTAAATAAACAAAAACAATTAGACATATTAACAGTTAGCCTAAAATATGCAAAACTACATAAAACCTGCAAATTTAGGTTAGCATTTTCAAGTGGGGTATCTAAGGTTGAACACCTAAATCCATCTGTTCACACTTAAAATGATGTTTTTGTAAGGTGTTAAGAATCTGCAGTTTCCATTTAAAGTATAAAAATATTTTTGATATTTGACATCAGAGAAAACTGTGGGTACCAACCATCAAACCACATATTTAAGTTCTAAAACATGAATATTGAGGTGCCTCTAATTAGACACCAAGTTTGAATATTTTCAGCTTTACTGATAACAAATATACAGCATGGAGATTGGAGCCTTCATTATATATTCCCCAGGACAGATACAGAAAGAGCAATGATAGTGCTATAGTTATCCACAATAGAGGTCAGGTGTTGGCTGTCTCACCTATACAGGAAGTACTGGCTTTGATTTTCTAACACCAATAGAAAATAGATGACTATAAGTTTTGTTAATTATTGACTTCAGATGCAGACACGTGACATGATTACTACCGCATAGTTTGCCCTAGATTTTACTCTGTGTTAACACAGCAGCATGCAACTAGATCTCCTAGAAGAGATGCCCATAAGAGTTGCTATTATGGTCCCTGGCAGCAGGTGGTAGAAGACCCAGTCTGCCTTGGGTAAATGCTGGGCAAACAGCCATCCCAGGATGTTACTGACAAGGGTAGCAGAGGCGCAACTGATATACCAGTGTAACCTAAAATGGTGCATAATTATTCCTCACTTTCCATGGATTAATTTTATCCTGGAATAGTGTGATTTATAATGAAGAAAGCCTGCCTGTCAAGCATCTGATCTACTTTTACCTCAGAGAGCGATGATTTAATGTATTCTGGCCAGACATGATCTAAGGCTGAGACCCAGACCTTCATTCCAATCCACATTTCAGAAATATTATGGTTTATTGTATCAAGATCTTTGCATTTCTCAGATCACTGACCATAACAACTGCATCTGTCAGATATAGGTGGCTCTAGCTATCAATTGCCATGACCTACTACAAAGGCTCCAAATCAGTGTGAAAGTTAAAACATTTTAGTTTGCAGATCAAACGCTCTGACTGCATACTTTGAAATGTAATGTGGAAAACAATTTGTAAATGCAATAAATTTATATCCTAAAAGAGCTACAAAGTATGCATGTGCTGCAAACAATTTTTGAAGTAAAATAATGTAATAGGCATGGCAGTAGCACTGGAGTGATGTTGTAGTTTAAATGGTCCAGGAAACAGGTAAGAGGCAAGGATTTTTGTGGGTGGTATTCTTTACTGGACAAACAGCAGAGTTGGGATGACAAGCTTTCAAATAAATGTATTCAAAGTCTATCCCAACTATGCATTTGGTCTAATAAAAGATTTACCCACAAAATCCTTGCCTCTCCTGCAATGGTATTTTTATTTTTTTTAACAGCAGAGAGTCATGTTTCATACTACAAACACATATTTGTTTTGATAAAAGAGTGGGCTTCTTTTTATACAGTAGTCACATCTAGTTTTTCCATCTAATTGCCAAGTAGTTTTGCTTTCCTCAAAAGTAAATAAATACAATTCCTCTCAGACTCATAGCTTTGAATCCAAGTTTCAGGTCAGAGATATTTAGTTGAATTGAAACTCCCTGAATCTGAAGATTTATAAAGGGATATCAAATTTCATCAAGTTCTCAAGAAAAGCAGTGTATGTGACAATGCTATTATAGTTATATTGAAATATTCTGCATACAAATTATTCTATTTACAGGGAATGAAATACTCTATATTTTATAGCTAAAGCATGAATAAACATGAATGGCATGCCACACTCTATTGTATGCAGTGTTACTTTACAGAGCTTTATACAACATGGCACAAATGCTAGGTGAAATTCTGGACTTTCTGAAGTCAATACAACTTTCACCATTCACTTCAAAGAGGCCATTGATTTCACCCTTTGTGTGTCACTATAATTTTAAAATGATGACAATATTTTTTTATGAATGAGTATGTGAGATTTAAGAAAAACATATAATACTGTTAGGACAGTTTTATACTTATCTAGACAAATATTGTGTAACACCACAACAGTATTTTTTATTCTACTGTTACGTAGTCTCTGTGGTACAGGACATTCAACTTTGGTGGCATCTACCCAAGAAAATGATTCACTTGCGCTCCTAACAACAATGTATTTCATTCAAAGTTCATTGTTTTCCTTTGGTGAATCAAAGGAAAAGCAAAACCTTAAATAAACAGTTGACTTACTGATTCCTAGTTCAAAACAGATGTTACACATTTGCCTATTTTCTTGAAGCAAAGTAGTTTATATAGGTGAGCAAAAGCTCAATAACCAGATGCAATGGATAAGATTCTGAGTTCAGTCAATGTACTGAGGTAAATATACGTATGTGTATACAAAAACCCAGTGTAGTTGCAGGGATCCAATACTGTTCATAGAAAAACTTGATCAACTTCAGATTTGCACATTTCTAATTTAAATTAAAGCCCAACCCAACATTACAAAAAGTTTTACTTTGGATCTTTCCTGAAAATAGTATCTATTCAGACATATAGCCAAGAATTTAAGGGATAATTTAGTTCTACTTACTTCATCTTCTAATGAAAATATATACTGTGCATATTTAGGGATATTCTTTGTGTTCACCATTATAAAGGCTGATTGCATTAACTACATGGCTAGGGACAGACATTACACATAAAACAGTTTAAGTGATCAGAAACTGGTTTAAACCTGTAACAGAACAGATGTTCAGTGCACACAAAACAAGTTTGAAAATGGCTGAAACTGGTTTGAGATAAACCTGGTTGAACGTAGTATCAGACAAATGATTTGGATCAAACCGGATTATGCAATGTCTGTCCCAGACACCTTTCTGGTTGAAGATAAACCAGACTCCCTCAGCATCCCATTACGGTCTCTGGGCTGGGTGGGGCTCTGTGCTCCATAGCAGGGCTGGCCCCTCCCCTCTGGTACCTAGCTGGAGCTCCGGGAGAGACTGCAGATACAGCAGGGTCTGTCTGGCTTCCCCCTGCCCTCCCCTGCCACACTGCTCAAGCAGGGATCCCCCTCTCCCATCTCCCACAGCATGGACCCCAACCCCACAGCCCCTAGGCATGTGGTATGCTAGCTAATGCTGAGAGATGTCTCTGTGTGTATGTCTCCAATTTCACTAGAAAAGGCAAGAGTAACCGTGTAGGGCTTTTTGGAGCTAAACAACAGGTCAGTTGGTAAGCTGTTTAAGAAGAGCTTGAACTAATGGAGAAAGGCTATTGTTTTGCTAATGGGATGATAAACACTTATCAGCCTCCTGCTGGCTTGCTTTCCTGTCAGTTTGATGCAGACAGTATAAAAAAGTAAGGAGGGACATTGAAAAGCTCCGTATCATCAACAGATGCATGCACTGCACACCCCTCCTTACCTCAGAGTGCTAGGCTGGGGTCTGGCAATACTCCTGCCCCTTGAGCAGCCAGCAGGGAAAAGCCTGGGATGATGCAGGCAGACCTCCCTAATCAGAGTGTCCTTCCGGGGCCTGGCCATGCCCCCCCTCAGCTTAGCTCCCTACGGAAGGGAAGGGAGGGCTGCTTTAGCACACACCCCCCCCCCCCCAGCTTCTAGCCTGAACCACTGCAGGCATGTACCTGAATTTCCTCAGTCCAGAGAGAATGTCTGTCTGGTTACAAACTGGTTCAGCCTAGCCAGGTTGGACTAACCTGCAAAGATTGAATCAATTCCGGGTCAGGATTTTGAATGTCGGTCCCTAGCCCATGAGAACTGTACAGTGGATAAATATATGCCCAAATATTGTTGTTTTGTCACAAAGACAAGTCAAACAAGACAGTGCTATGTGGACTCCTGTTTGGCTTTTAGATGACAGTTGTTCCATTGATTAAAAAAAAAAAAAATCAAAGTAATCAATTCCAGAAGGGGAAAAAAAGGACTGATAAAGTAGCAAAGATGAACTATCTTTTAATCCCAAAA